TGCCTGAAGATGACATCAGTTCTCCCAAAAATCTTACAGGCGAAAATGACGGGCATGTCCCTAACGCAAGCCTGCCAAGCGTAGGCAAGGCTAAGCCTACTGAACCGTCACAGTTTGGCAAGTCTTTTTAGAAAGATCTTTTAGTAGCCGAAATAGGCAAAAGACATTGAGCTTTTGGGGTCTTGTCTTTAAAGATAAAGACCATTTCTTAAGTGGCTCGGTCTACTAGGCTTTTAAAAATGCTTTTAGAGGCTATTTATGAAGCAAAAAGACCAGAAAGCTTCATTTGAAGCTTCCCAAAATTTGGCATTTTCGGTCTTTTCGAGTCTTTCTGCGTACGCATCTTCTCATCTTTCCAACTTTTGATTACCAAACAGAGAAAAGACTGACTTTTGGTCTTTCGAGCTTGTGGAAACTCAAAAGACCACGTGGAAAGACTTGCTAAGTGCCACCAAAGATAAGGGAAAAGTAGAAATTTGCAAAAAATAAAAATTGAAAATGAAAAAATACAAAAAACAGAAAATATAACAAAGAAAAAGAGAAAAATACAGAAAACATTGAAAATTGCAAAAATAAAAAATGCAAAAAGACATTAAAAAAATAAAAGAGGAAAGCATAGAAATTCATAGTAAAAAGAATACAGAAATTCAAATGGACATTTTTGTAATTTTATCTTTGTCATTAAGCCCATGGGTGGGGAAAAAGTGAAGTCTGAAAGTTCAAGGGGCTAAGTGTCCCTACACCTAAAGTACAGAGTGGCAGTGTGCAACTTATCCTAAATATATACATTCTACGTGCACAATGAGTTCATTGCAGCGAAACAATGAAAAAAAATAAATAAAAAAGAATTCTATATCAGGCTTATCCATTTGCAATGGTTAATTGTGGGTCGAGTCCCGACCAACCACATACTTATTTGGGCGGAACAAATTGGGTTGGGTGTATTTGATAGTTGATAATAATAATAACAATTACAACACGTATGTACATCCACTAGACCTGGCAAAAAGTTGATCCAACCCGCGAACCTGACCCAATCCAACCCGAAAAAACAGGGTTTGAGTCTCATATATAGCTACCTGAATGTGAAAATAACCCGACCCGACCTGAAAGAAATTGGGTTGGGTTGAGTCATGGGTCAAGCCGCTGACCCGATTGTCAAGTCTAATTGGGATTATTTATGCATTATTAGAAATTTCCATTCTTTATTTTTTTCTATTTAGTCTCTACTTTTTATTTGTTACTCTTTAAATTGTTAAATGTTCAAGTTTTTTATTTTGTATTTGGAATTTTAAAGTTAATTCTTTTAGTTTTGACATTTTTCATGTAATTTTTCTTTATTATTTTAAATTTCAATTATTTTTTGGGATGACCCGAATTGACCCATAGGTCAACCCTAACCCGAATATTTAGGGTTAGGGTTTAGCATTTAACAACCCAACCCGAAATCAACCCAAAGTACCTTGACCCAACCCGAACCTGGCCCACCCAACCCAATTGCCAGGTCTATCCACATTTTGTCGAACAAGTACACATGGGTTGTGGCACCGTTAATAGTAGCACATCACGACTGATTAAACTGTGTACCCCATTTTAGCCCATATTCTTGACGTTGGGATGATAACATTGTGCGCATGAATGAACCTTCGGACACGGGACATGGGAGTCATTTTGTACTGGTACAAATAGAGCAGGTTCTCAGTTAGTAGGATCTCTGACTCAACACAGACCTGGGATCAAATCTCGCTGCCACCAGGTTGGAGGAGGGGACGAGGGATGGGCTACCCTTTTATATAAGCTAATAAGCCCCATGAAACCAAAAATTAAAAGAAAAAAAAAAACATTATTGGTAGTGGAATTGAAAAGGTGCCTTGTATCTGATTTCTAGGAACTATAATTTCAGAGGTCTCACTAATATATTATTATGGAAATCAATGTCTTAAATAGAATAAGTAAGAAGCCTCACCCACAAACTTTTGTAGGATCCGGTGTCATAATGGGGAATACATACCAATACAAGAGGCATTGTGTGAACACAATTCATTCTCATAACATAAATTTCCACGTACTATTTGCATGATTTTGGATATGAAACTTATGGAGCAAAGAATCCACGGTTGCTACAAGGTGGGTGCGCTCAAAAGAGAAGTAACGGATGGACGTGACGTGCTTTTAGGATGGGCCATGTAGTTTAGATGTTCATGATGTCTATCCTGCTCGCTCAGAGAGAGAGAGAGAGATTTTATCGGAGAGAGCAATAATGGATTTCATTAGAAACAATTATGACTTGAGAGGGTTTTTATTTGAGTAATGATGGATTTTGTTAGGACAATTAAGACCTAAGAGAGTTTTAATTTTGACTTACATTTTCTCCTAAACAAACTTTACCAGCTGAGCCAGTTAGGACATTCCTCCATAAACCATCTCTATTCCCCCTTAGCCGTTTAGCACACTTAGGTACCCACCTTTGGGTGAGCACCTTCTGTAAATTATTCATGGTGATGTAAATGAGGCAACCACCAGAAAGCACTAGATAAAGTGTTATGTTGTAGGTAATTAGAAGTAGGGAGTTGAGCGTGAAAACATCTCACAAGGTGGATGTTGTTTTATATTCAGTATCAACAATGTCTCGGCATAGGAAAAAACAGTATAATCCATGCTAGGTCCTAAAGACATAAAAGATATTCTTCTACTTATCATTCTAATGTAATTTATTTTTTTCTTTTATTAGGTTAGTATCCCTCATTCATTCTATTGATGTATTAATAATTCACTGTGATTTAGTTAGGTAAACTTAATACCTTCTTTATGTTTTGTTCTTGTTTCCTTGGTGTAGAATCAACTACTTTTTAAGTGTTGTGTTCAAAATCTGCAAAAATTCTCAGCTCGTGTACATCAAGGAAATGAACATTTCCCGTATTAGTATCTAGTTATCCACATCTATGCATCCTATCTCAAAAGCGCCACCATAGTAGAATCATAGATTCCTTTTCCAGGGAAATAATCAAGCCCAATTTTGATGGCTACTCACTTGATGGTCTGACGTTCCCACAGTTTGGTGTTTCAAAGAACTTCTATCTACATAACTTACAACTAGTCTTAGACTTATTACGGAATCCAACGGAGTTGAGGTTCTAGCTCCCTTGCATATAAAAGGAAATATTTACAAATCACAGCCTTGGGTTCTCAAAAGTGGCAATTAAGTCATATTTTAGATATCATGTTCAAGAAGGGGATATGGAGGCTTTCCTACACCCGTTGAAGAAGTATGGGCTTTGGCATCTACTTTTTAACATCCAGGTTGGTTAGGTTGGTCACTGGGCTTAGTGCTTCATCCTATGTTTCTTTTCCATCTCCATGTTAGGGACTCAAGCTTTTCGAAAATTCATTCCTTGTCTTCTAAAATCATTGCAAATATGAAATAAGGTGATAACCATGAATGTTAAATTGAAAAAAAAAAGAGACAATTTTAAGTGCAGGTTTTAAAAATCTATAATAACATATAAGCATTGGTTTTGAGTTTCTTTTGCATGCAGATATAGCACGGTTTTTATCATACTAGAGTACCACTGAGAATTGTTTACCAAAAAAAGTGCCACTGAGAATACTCACATTTTACAAGGAATATTCAGCTTCTGGGCCTTATGCTTGATAACGGGAAGCCTCTGACTTATGAGAGTTGGATCACCATATGCAGCAGAATCAGAAGGATATCCTTTCTGTACCAATTCACCAAGATGATGAATGTATGAGGTTTCATTAGAAGAGAAGACACAAGGGAGAACAATTAGAGAAAGAGAAAAAGGAAAATAGTTATGGAACTAAGTCCCAGAATAAATAAAGAACAACCTGTTCCACCTCTGGGTAATGACTACAGGAAAATGAATTTGAAATCCATAAATCTAATATAACATGTAAGCTTCTACCATAAGCAAAAAAATTGACTCATTTGAGTAGGATCTCCTGTTCATAAAATTCTGTTTGTTTGCAGTGCAAATCTGATAATACAAATTTTGCACCCGATTCAGTTTTGCATCTGTTTATTTGTAATTATGATTTGTACTCCTAATTGATACAAAATGTATACTTTTTATCTCATTTGCACAGTTGCACTCGCTGGGAGTGCAAATTTTGCATCCAAAAAATAATACAAGATTTGACGAATCCAGTGCCTTGTTAGACACTGAAGGGCTGCCTTCAAGTCATTTAACAAGTAAAATCCACTTTCTAAAATAGGGTTAGTAACTGTGATAGGCCCCAACTATCCATTCGGGCCCACAACAGGAGACCCAGGCCAAGGCACACATCAACCAGGCCCAACACAAGAGAAACACCTGATCACCCATGTGCAACCTCCACTGGGGTTCGTTTACGTGAGGAGGCCACGTCCCTCCAGTTACTTAGCAGTCACAGTCTAGTCCATGTGCAGGAGAGACTGAAGAGAGAGTATAAATAATTGTAACCCCCCATCTATTGGAGGCATGAAATGAAATAATCCTTTAGTCTTCTACCGTCTCTCTCTTCTTCTTCTCTTCCTCCCTCTCTCGTCTATTTCAGGAGGGTGAGCTCCCTCGAACCAGCTCAGATTCTCAGAATTCAAAGCGGTCCTATCAATTGGTATCAGAGCCACCCAGATCCATGGATGCGCAGATGACAAGGCTTGAAGACAGTCTCAGTCGTCTTGAGGGAAGTCAGAGGAATCAGAAAGGAATTCTGGCCGAGCTGAAGATGATTTTAGACAGGCTTGGCACGATGGTCGGTTCTCTAGAAGAGCGTAGTCGCCGAGCTCCTTCAGTCAACACTCATTTCGGAGAAAATGGAGGATCAAAGCTGATAGAGAGCATTGAAAAGCCAATAACGACAATGAGATCATCATCAGGAATTGAGACTTCCCTATCAACAAGCTCAGCGATGTTGGGTGACAAAATAGGGGAGGTGATACAGAAGGGCAGTGTGAAAACTATAACCCCATCCATCATTATCCATGTAGCTTGACGCCTGGTCCTTGTTCTCTTCCCTCTCACTCTCTCGCTTAAATCGAGCCTGTCCATACCCAGCCCAGGTCTGTCTCAGTTGGTCAACCTCTGGTCATCATTTTCGTTGGCGGCAACCATAACCCAACCCATCTCACCATGCCACCTGAAACCCGTCTCTGTCCACCCTCCAGTTTTACAGATCACTGTTCTTTCTCTTCTCCCATGGCTCCCTAGTGACAACCATGATTTCTGGTTCATTGTTGGAGTTAGGCCCGGTGGTCACAGAACCTTCGACCACGACGATCGCATTAGACGTGTGGTTGTTTCCACCAAGTTATTACGAAGTCGGCAGATTCTTTCGATCATTGACAGTGATGCCAAAATAGCTAAGGCAGACTCAATGATTTGAGTTTTGGTTCCAACAGGACCTCTAGACACAGGTCAACAACCAAAGGGGGAAATGATAGGTGATGGTAAGAACCCAAGCATCTTTAACGTAGTCATTGTTCACCTTGTCCATTCTAGAATCTCCAGTGGTGCCATATCCTATATCTGAGTGGATGTTGTTGTTGTGAGTATGTTCAGGCAGTTTAGAGTTGGATTAATTAGTGCTCATCTTGTTGCTACAAAGAAGAGATTTACCATTGTTGTCATTCTCCCGGCCTCAGCTACGCTCTCACCAAAGAAGATGAAATATGAAGACTTTTGCCATATTGCTTCTGTATGTACGGAGCAAATAGGTCCAAGGTGTCGAAGGTTTTTCAGCCTTTCAAATTTTACGAAGTTTGAGAAAGATGGGTCTGGAAGAATTTCCATCCTGCCATTTTACCTTTATGTGACGCGCACAGTTCCCTCACTAAGGCAAGAATTGATATGAGCGAGTTTGATGAGGATTCTGATGGTTTCCTTCACTCTCATGAAATGGAGGCCTACATTAGAGGTCTTATTCCTAATCTGGCACAACTACAAGGTAGGCCTGCAGCTTTTATTCTAATGAACTGCCACATAGCTGCACGCAAATTTTTCTTCTTTTGTGACCCTCACAGGCAAGGTAAAGCATGCATAAAGAAGGTACTACTTAGTAACTGCCTCCAGGAACTCATGGAACTGCACCAGGAAAGTGAGGAAGAAGTCACTGATACTGAACAAGCTGAAAACTGGTTCTCATTGACATCCACACAACGGATATGTGATATGTTTCTTGCTCTAGATAAAGTTTTGAATGGGACATTGAGCAAGCAGGAGCTTCAAGAATATGCAGATAGTACATTGACAGAAATATTCATGGAGCGGGCATTTGATAAACATGTTCGGCGTGGCAAAAATGGTGGTGGTGGTGATAATGCACGGGAGATGGATTTTGAAAGTTTCCTTGACTTTGTTTTGCCCCTAGAAAACAAAGATATACCGGGAGGATTGACATTTGTTTCAGTGTCTTGATCTCCATGGAAGAGGGTACCTTACAATAGATGATATCCACACACTTTTCAGAGATGTACATCAGAAATGGATCGAGGGAGGGAACTACAAGCTGCGCATTGAGGACGTAAGAGATGAGATATCGAGATTTCTTAAATTGCATTTGCAGAGAGCATAACAGCACATGGAGTTGGCCTACAACCGCAATCACCGGGAGCTTGAATTGGCAGTTGGGGATTGGGTCTATTTGAAGCTCCAGCCTTACCGGAAAGCTTCAGTAGCCCGATGAGTTTGGCAGAAGCTAGCTCCTAAGTATTTTGGCCCATTTATGGTGATTGAACGAGTGGGACAGGTGGCTTACAAATTGGAGCTTCCTACTTGCTCGAAATTACACCCGATTTTCCATGTTAGTATGCTGAAGCCTTGCCTAAGCCCTACAACTAAGGTCAGCCCGACCCTTCCGCAATTCACAGAAGACAGGAATATACTGATTGAACCACGACAAATCAGGAATGTAAGAGGGGTCAAGATAGGCAAGAACTTACACAAGCAAGCCTTAGTCATGTGGAAAAACTTGTCACCAGAAGACCTACAAGATCCCCCGCGTCAACCTTGAGGACAAGGTGTTTCTTGAAGAGGGTGGGACTGATAGGCCCCAACTATCCATTCGGGCCCACAACATGAGACCCAGGCCAAGACACACATCAACCAGGCCCAACACAAGAGAAACACCTGATCACCCATGTGCAACCTCCACTGAGGTTTGTTTACGTGAGGAGGCCACGTCCCTCCAGTTAGTTAGCAGTCACAGTCTAGTCCATGTGCAGGAGAGACTGAAGAGAGAGTATAAATAATTGTAACCCCCATCTATTGGAGGGATGAAATGAAGTAATCCTTTAGTCTTCTACCATCTCTCTCTTCTTCCTCTCTTCCTCTCTCTCTCGTCTATTTCAGGAGGGTGAGCTCCCTCGAACCAGCTCAGATTCTCAGAATTCAAAGTGGTCCTATCACACTGTCTGAAAGAGGACAGCTTCTCACATCCCCAACATGGAAGTCACCACTCAAATTTATCAGTCAATGGCCTGGAGATTTCTTACCCTTGTTCTTGTTACGTAGCATTGGATGAGTTATCAATTCTGTCAATGATGGACCTGAATCTTTTCAGCTTTGTAATAGAACTCTTGATGTAGGGAAAACCGTATGTATGATTCTTGCAAATAATACCAAACTAGATTGATATGGGACAAAAAAAGAGAAAAGTCCTACTAGGGTGAACATTTTTTTGTTATCAATAACAGAACCATTTTATTAGAAATAAGAAAAAATATACAAGTATAGGTGCAAGGAGAGGTACTCTTCACTCTCCCCACAAGGAGCAACAGAATTACAAGATAGCCCAAAACATATGATCCCTTCCCTCCCCTTGTTTGGAAGCGTGTCTGCAAAAGAATTAGCACATCTTTTAACCCACTGCAGTCTCACTTTCATACCCTGAGTCAGCCACTTAAATTTCCTTCTTTCATTAATGCAGCTCCACAAACCATCATCCTCCTCTAGCCAGCCTATTACAAATTTTGAATCTCCTTCATTGACCAACCGGCTAATGTTCAGTTCCCTAGCCCTTTTTGCACCATCCAAAACAGCCAAATCTCAGCTCGAAGTGAGTCACCCAAACCAATTGGGCCTAAGAACAAGGCAATAATTTCACCTTCCTCATTCCTGAAAACTTCTCGAACACCTGAAGATCCAGGGTTTCCTTCATTACTACCATCAAAGTTCAACTTAGTGAAACCATAAACTGGTGGAGTCAACAATGGATAGGACAGAACTTTGCTAGGGGCTGAAGATGCCACTTACTTCCAGTTATTCAGCAAGGCCATTGTAGAAATATCATCAAATAAATCCATAGATTTTACCCACTGAACCACTCTCACAATGATTACTTCAACAATTGCCCCTCTACTACTCTCCTTTTCAGCAAATATTCTTTGGATCCTTTCCTCCCATACTGTCCAACAAATTGCAGCTCTTGTGCATCTCCACAACACTCTCCCCCTCTTAAGGGACAGGAGATTAATAAGTGATGGTAAGACTTACCATTTTTTTTATCAATATGGTAAGACTTACCATTAATTTTACAAAGAATGCACTGGTTAGGAGATAAATACCAAAAAGGCTTTTTTCTTTGAAGTAGGTTGCAGGTGTTGATCCTTCCCAAGAAAACTTCCCAACAAAAGGCCCCAAGGAACCAGTTTACCATGGTTGCCCAAGACTGCAGAGGAATGTGCTAAAGCTTTGAAGAAAGAGGCATGGGTAAAGGTAGA